TAAAAAAATTTTTTTTGGCAGTGCTGAAGATCAAACCCAGGGCTGCATCCATGTTAGGTAATCACTAGATCACTGAAATACACACCCAGATCTGTTACATAATTCTAAAGTGAGAATCAACTATGCTGAGTTTGAGAGCTACTGTATCAAAGCAATGGGTACATTTAAGCACAAAGTGTATACCTTATAGCATTATAATTTCTTTTTTCTTAGGGGTGGGCAGTAGAAGACCAAATTTAGGGCCTTTGTGCAGGCTAGGCAAGCCCTCTACCACTGAACTACATCCCCAGTCTTGCTTTATAAAATCTTAATTTCAAGGTCTTCCTCTTTCTATAACTTCTACAACTTGGCAAAAGAAAGTTCATATAAGAGCCCCAGACATTAAATTAACTGTAATGATATAGAAAGGAAAGAATTAAGTAGTTTCAAAGGCTAAGGATGGTTTCTTAGTATTAGAATACAATTTTCATTCTCATTCACTTATATACCTTAACTTATAACTGAAAAGACTACAAAATCAAAGAAGAAGCTGACTGTGTTATCCCAGTGGCTCGGGAGGCTGAGGATCGCAAGTTCAAAGTCAGCCTCAGCAACAGCGAGGCACTATGCAACTTGGTGAAACCCTGTCTCTAAATAAAATACAAAAAAATAGGCCTAGGGATGTGGCTCAGAGGTTGAGTGCCCCTGAGTTCAATCCCCAGTACCCCTTCTCCCCCAGCCAAAAAAAAAAAAATCAAAGAAAAGATAATCTAGTGCTTTTACCTACAGAGAACATAAAATCGATAAATTCAGAATCAATGGATACTTGCTAGATTAGAAATAAGCAAACATGAACTCTTATAAAATCAACATCTAAGTTTAGTCTACGTAAGAAAACTGAAAAAGTAATGGTGCTGAATGGACATTCCCCTTAGAAACTGGGCTCATGGGCTGAGAATGTGACTCAGTGGTACAGGACTTGCTTAGTGTGTATGAGGCCCTGGGTTCAATCCTCACACCACAAAACAAAAACAACAACAAAACTGGGCTCAGTTTCACCCATCTCATCATTTTCACTTCCTATCAGTGAAGGATTCAGCACTGGGGAAGATCAAAGATGCTTATTCACTGCTCTGTCTGAGACTATCACTAAAAATATTATCCTGATGCAGAAATATCAATAAACAAGCTAACCAAACCATGCTCTCCTTTAATGAAGTTTTTTTCAAATTAAAGATTTAAACCAATAAATTAAGCATGTTATGGTCAACATTTTTAAAAAAATTAAATATAATAAGAGAAAGGAATGTACTATAGCTGTTTATACTGGATTATAATACAACTTGAAGTAATTACTGTAGTTCACTATCATAAAAGCATAAAAGTTGCTTCTTCATGGCATGAGAAAAAGCATATCTTAGAATCAATCCATTAGACTTGCTTTAGAATCATAGCACTGGCTAGGTGACACTTGATGAATTACCTCTTTCAGCTTCTTTGAGTGTAAATAAAAACCAACTTCACTTTCAGAGTTTTGATGAAAGGACGAGGGATAACATAAAGTGGCTCATACCATGCCTCATATGTAGTGAGCACTCTTTGCCGTTAATAATTTTCAGTCATCAATTTAAACATTAAGTTTGGAGAACAGTTATAAATGAATAACTTGAATGATTTATTTAAAAGATGCTGACAAGTTCAGTTTTGTTCATGGTATTCAGAGGGATACAGAAAACATAAAGTAACAGCACATGTTTATATCAACCCAGTGATAAATATGTGATACAAACTACTGTGTTGATAAAAACATGGAATTCAAGAAGGCTATAAAGGAGAATCCAATGGTTTCATTTCTGGACAGAAGAGCAAATAACGATTAGTCTACAGTCATATTAAAACCTGAGACAAATCATAGTCTTTATCCAAATTTCATCAATAATTATGTTATAGCATTAATACTCAAAAAAACCTGATTTTTCTAGTAGCTGCTTCCAGAGTAAAAGTATGAAAAGAAACATCCCAAATAGGCAAAATCATTCTCCTGAGTAGGTAACAGCAATTTATTTCTTAAGCAAGTATTTATTGAGTATTTACTACATGCCACACACTATTCAGGTCAAGTATCACAGTAAGGAAGAAATAGTCCCTATGCTCATGGAAAATTTGGCAAAGAAGCTGAAGTATAATGATGCTAAAAAGACACCGTGAATAATTTCAAACAGAAAAGAACACAGTTTATCTTGTGCTTGTGGATCATCAGTTTATCTAATAAATGATCTTTTTATTTTTTTAAATTACTTACAAAAATGGAAAAATAATTTTTTTGAAAAATGTCAGTCTTGTATTATGCCAGTTCTATATTAAAATTAATTCGAGGGGGGCTGGGGTTGTAGCTCAGTAGAGCCTTTGCTTGCATGTGTGAGGTACTGGTTCAATCTTCAGCACCACATAAAAACAAATAAATAAAATAAAGGTATTGTGTCTGTGTATAACTAAAAAAAAAAATTAATTCGAGGGCAATAAATTACATGTTTACATTTTAAAATTATAAGCATCTAAAAATAAGCAATTAAAAATATAAATTCAAGGACACCAAGTTGTATCTATACATACACAAATATATAATTTCTGAAAACATATTCATAAAAAACTGAATGTATTCATTGGAAACAAAATATCAACAATGAATAAATCAAAATTGTACCACACAATTTCCCCTTTACATCACTTCTGTAGTACTTTCTAAATTCTGACTAATAAGTTACTACTATTAGAGTTACTACTATTAGTTACCAAAAAAATTTTTGTTGTTGTTAAATATTTATTTAGTTGTAGATGAACACACAGTATCTTTATTTATTTTTATGTAGTGCAATGGATTGAACCTAGTGCCTCATACATGTGAGGCAAGTACTTTACCACTGAGCTACAGCCTCAGCCCCAGAAAAAATTATTTTAAAAAATGAAAGTCATCCCTTAAATTTAATGTAATTACAGTTATAAGTTATTATCAAAAATACCTTTACAATGCTGAACAATTCAAACATCCAAAAGGCATTTCATAAGTATGATGGTATAACTAAAGATACAATCTTCAAATTTCCCAAAAAAGAAAAAAGGTCTAATCTGTTTTTAAATGAGTCACTGTGCCTTCATTTTGGCAATTTTGCCACTTTCTGAGTTAATACATCTAATAATATAGCTTCAAAAAGACAGACTTAATACTCAAATTAATGGACTAGTTAATAAAATAGTATTTTCTGGAAATTATGGAATCCTGCAGATTTAGTATTCTCCATACTGATAATTCAACCCTTCCTCCCTCCCTGCCTCCCTCCCTCCCTTCTCCTCCTCCTCCTCCTTCTTCTTCTTTTTTTTTTTTTTAAGTTGCTTATATCTCTAGCATCAATGGCTTTAATTCCTTTTGGGAACAAGGAAAGGAAATGTCCATGGTATTTAAATACATTCCATTTCCATCCTTAGAGGGCAGAAAAAGGAGAGTTATTAAAGTTGTATATGTTAGGAGGCTGAGGCAGGAGAATTGCAGGTTTGAGATCCGCCTCAGCACCTTAGTAGTGAGACCCTGTCTCAAAATCAAAAATAAAAAGGGTCGGGCATGTGACTCAGTGGTAAAGTACCCCTGGATTAAATCCCCAATACCAAAAACAAAACAAAAAAACAAAACATATCTAATTATCTACTGTAAAGTCAAAAGGCAAACAGTAATAACTCTAATTTTCTTTTGAGATATACACAATTAAGAAAATTGAATATTTACTTTCCCCATCCCCACTCCCTACCCGTCTTTTTCACTTACCTGTATTTTCTTGGTTTTCTGCAATGAATATTACTTTTGTTTCTCCCTAGTGGAGAAACATGGTAATTTAACTGAAGTTTTAAAGATGAATTAATTAAAACATTGATGGTTTCTGGATTTGTTTTTCTGTAATTAAATATGAACATATTTTCCTGGGCAAGTAGAAAAAAAATTTTCTTATACACAGACTATTGATTATGGGTCCACAATACCTTATCTACAATTCCAAAACTGCAACCAACTTTAAAATCCATTACTGATTTGGTGATAAACCCTGAGATGATCAGAGGTAAAACTATTTCTAATCATTATTTATCTCAGTATATTCATTACCTTTTGCTGCCAAGATACTAATGCTCGAGATTCTGCACAAGTGTTAATGTATGATATGTATACTTTGCCACTTTTCTAAAATCTGAAAAATTCTGAATTCTAATACATAAATGGCCCCATAGGTTTTTAGGTAAGAGACTGAATGAAGCTGTATTAGAGATCTCATAGAAAGTTTTTTTTATGTAAGACATAAATTCATTAGCCTCATTGGTTTTACAAAAATGATTAGCAAGTTACTTTCTGTTTAAATCATTAGCTATTTAAAATTAATTCTCAACTAAAAAATGGCAATTCTTTGTCATTTAAAAACTAAAGGACTCCATATTCAATACAATGTCTATGCATACTTCCTGGAATGACACACAGATTAAAGGCTACTATGTAATATAGTGGAGTCCTTAGATTATAAAAGATGAAGTTTAAGAATGAGGTCTGGATTTGTACATTAATATAAATAATAATGACAGCACATCAGCTTTACAGAAGATAATTTATGACTTCCTTTACTATAAGACACAATCTTTCCTGGGTAAGAATTACACTCAAATGACAGGAATAGAATATTCTTAAAGATTTTCTGCTTCTAAAATGGAGGATCTGCCAATGACAAAATGAGTACGAAAGATTTAAATTTATGTCAACAAAAAAAAAAACACATACATAGCATATACTGTTAACTTCTAGAATAAGGTTAAAAACTCTAAAAAAACCCCCCAAAGTTATGAATATGGAAGCCATAAAGCATTAGTTCTGTAATGTTTCCCTAATATGCTAAAAAACAAAACAAAAAAATAAGAGAAAGGAAAAAAAAAAACCCAAATCCACTTACTTAACTTGTGGTCTTAATGACAATCATATTAAGGATAGTCACCTTCTTTGGGTTGAGCCATAACTGGAGTCTGAGTTTCCTTAGTATATGTGACAATTTCTCGAGGAGGAAAGTCAACTTGCGTAATTTTGGCCATTCCAAGTTTAATAGGTCCTCGTCTAAATTAAATGAATATAAATATTTTTAAATACAACAAATGATAAATTTTAAAAACATCAAACTGTGTTACTTTTGAAAATATGAATTGAACATTTATGTGTATCTGACATTGGAATTTCAATCCATTTTAATCAAGAAATTTTAGATGAACAATAAATTGACTTTCATTTAATAGAAGAATTAGTAGCTAAAACAAAAGATACTTCCGACTCTTTGGGGGTGTTTTTTTTTACTTTAAAAGGCAAATAATTTTATTTTGTAAAGCAAATGTGTGGGTAATAATAGAGTAAGAGAACCGGAATTTCAGAATAAATTGTTGAAAAAGGCTGGTTGCAAGTGATATTTTTAACAGGGATATGATTCTAGATGTTTATGAAGAGTCAGATATATGGATCTCATTCAGACTATGACTGAAAGAAAAGGTTTCTGTTGAAAACCTTTTTCTACTTCCTATATTAGGCATAAATTTGGACTTATACTGTCAATTTAAATTTTAAAACTTTTAAGTCTCTACACAATCAGTGTGTCCTTGATACATAATGGTCAAACTAAGATCCAGATATTCTATACCTACCCTAAAGCAACAGATCTTCTGAATGTAATAAAACTAATATAGTCACTTATGTTTTAAATGAAGGAAATACATTATTTTTTGACATGGAAGAAGAGAGTTACAGCTGAAGAAAATGGACCAACAGAAAAATATTTCAGTAGCTATATGGGGGATTTTTATTCGATTATTATATTAGATGTCTAAGACTTCCAAGGAAGTTCTCAATTATGAAGCTATTTTAAAAGGATATCCAACAAAGATATGGCTGCAACTTCCTGAATACCAAGTGGGGTATCTGAAATATACATGTCACTGGTAATATAAGTGATTTTAAATATATATAAACATCTTTTTAAATTTTATTTAATAATTAATTCAAATGTTGTACAAAAGAGTGTTATATAATTAATACATTTTAAAAATTTACTGTAAGGTCCATGACATAAGCATTAGGAAGTTTATAACAGGTTACCTATTTTAGAAATATCTTAGCCCTAAAGATTAAAAAAAAGCATACTCAAAAAATTAAATGAGAAATTTTTAGTATATTTGAAGTAATCTACAGGAATATAAGAATTAAGTTTGAAATAAGAACTTTATATCCTGATTTTTAACATGCAAATCATATAAAAAGTAAATCACTCACATAGCTGGAAAAAAAAGTCTTTCCAATAGTATTACAAACAAGTTACTAACTTGAATGCAAATGGAGCCTAATAGTCAAAAGCCAAAATATTGAAACAAACAAAATATTTCAAGATTTTATAGGCAGAGAAGGGTAAGGAAGGTAATACCTCGCTTATCCAAAAGCACTTTTACTGAAAATAAAGAAGCAATAGGAGGGGAAAGCGAAATACCTCAGGGCCCCTAATAGAGAAGCTTTTGGTTAGTATACAAGAATCTCACATATTTTTCTTATATGCCTTCATTCAAGGCTTATTTATTCTAGTTTTAGATATGATTTGCAAATGTATGGTTACATTTTAGAAGTTGCAAATTATCAGGGAAAAGAGCTATCTGAGTCCGTATAAAGGCAGTAGCAAACATTTACAATTTTCATTGAAGCCTAGAATGAGAGTCTGTGAATGCATGAATAGCATGGGGCCATAATGTAGACACCAACATTTCTGTTCCTCTCAAAACTACAGATTCATATAAAGTAATCCAAAAGAGGTAGTTTTTTTGTACATCTTAGAAAAATTCACACAAAAATATAAAAATAATATGAAGAATTGGACATCCAAATGGATAGATTTTAATAAAACAACATACACGGAGTATTTCTTTCATTAATGATACAGGATAAATGAGGTGTCACAGTAAAATATAACTCTTTTGTTTTAACTATATATTACAATATTAGAAGTTTAAGCAAAATAAAATTAGGACAGTTTCACAAAGAGTAAAATTAATTATAAAAGAGGGAAGGTAATAAATCTATTCAATACCCCAAATCGGAATCTGAGTGAAGCTGAAGAACTGATGGATCTGTATCCCAATGCAGCGTCCTAAATGGTTGTAGGACAACCATGAAGCATTAGTGAAAAAGGCCATAAGTTAGTCAAGCAAATACACTCTATGAATATCTAAAGCTAAATTACTGTTTATAATTAAAAAACACCTTTTGGTTAGTACAAAACCCCACATTAGGTGTCACTCAATGCTGTAGTGCATGCAATAAGCATAATACAGTTTAAGATGCAAGCATATAAAGAAAAATAGTCCAAACTATTTTCAGATTATGAGAAACTAACATTGCATAACAATGGACAAAAATAACTAAGGCAGATAACCCAAATAAGACATTATTTATAGATGAGAACAAGTTAGGCTATAAAAATTAAAATTTCAAGATTCCTAATTTAAAAAACATTAATAAAAACATCTTGCCCAAAGCATTAAATATGTGCAGGAAATTGTCATACTAGTAAAGGAAATGAGTCAACACATAATCCTTTTAGTAAGAAAGCCAAAGACTATCCCACTGGGATACAAAATAGCTAAAGTTTCCAAAATGTGACCCTGCTATATGTGGCTCAAGCGGTAGCGCGCTCGCCTGGCATGAGTGCGGCCCGGGTTCGATCCTCAGCACCACGTACAAACAAAGATGTTGTGTCAGCCGAGAACTAAAAAATAAATATTTAAAAAAAAAAAAAAAAAAGAACTGCCTTGGGCTCACATGTCATCTACTTTAGCAAACAACTAAAGGTATTGGTCTCTAGGAAAAACAAAATAGATTATTTCCCTTGGAAAAATATTTTATGTTCAAAAGAATTACCCAACTTTTGGAGAATACCAAAGTATTTAGTGATGTTTTAGTATTAGGTAAATATCTTACACAGGATTTTTTCCACTTAAGCTAAATCTAGTCATTACTATAACAAAGTACTATATCATATTGACATCCTTATAAGTTAGCAATACTGCATAGTGTTCATACTTTCTATAAAAAAGCTCAATACTCTATGTAGTATTATCATATTTCTCACTTACATGTTATAATGCACAATGAATTTTAGCTGCTACAATATACAACAAATGATTTCTTTACCTTACCTGCCTATATAATTAATCACTAAAAACAATCAGATGAAACAAACTAGAGAAAATCTTCATTTAAAAACTATAAAGAAAGATACCGGAATTTAAATAGGGTTGTGTGTATGTAATGAAAAAAAGAGACTATAGAGAAGACCTACTTTTTATTACAATAAAATTAGGCTTTGTTAAATCAAAAGGGATTCTATGCAATGGTCTCCAAGGCATACTCTGTCAACAGTCTTTACATTGTACAAAAGCTCTAGCTGTTATCAGTAACGTTAAGCTCCCAGGATATTATTTTAATGTAAAATTAAATAATGAAGGCTGGGGTTGTGCCTCAGCGGTAAATCGCTCGCCTAGCATGTACGAGGCCCTGGATTTGATCCTCAGTACCACATAAAAATAAATAAATAAAGGCATTGTGTCCAACTACAATTAAAAATATTTAAAAATAAATAAAATTTTAAGTAAATAAATAAATAAATAAAATTAAATAAAACTTTACCTCAAAATATAGCCATACTAAAAATACATTGTACATCATACATGATTATACTTATCAAAGGCATCTTCAGATATATAAAGTTCAATTCCAAAATAACCCAAAAGGCTTAAAAATAAACTGATCAAAAATAGAAAAAAAAACAAGCATGAATTACCCAACTGAATAACTGTCATCTAAATTTTAAAGCTAACAGAAGTGACTAAGAAAGTGAGTAAGAAACTTAATGAAATGCAACTTAGTAATCTGCAAAGTTAGAGAAATCTCTCTTCTCACAGCCTTTATACTTTTTCATAAATTACTGCCAGTCCCAATAGAAATTCATTTAGAAAAGGTGGTTCAAACATGTTTAGATATGTTTTGCAATATCTAATCTATCTTTTCCTACTGTTGAGTTTACTAATCTTAGATCATCTTGGCCAACTAATGGAGTGTACATATACATACATCTTTTACATCTTCATGCATTTTCCTGTGATATTTCCTTACTGTCTTTATTCTTCCATTATCATCATTCCTGCTCAATATGAGTTTACTCTGTTTTTTTTTTTTTAATTTTGATATCTGAGTATTCTCTTTAAATGCCACATATTTAGAAATGCATTATTTCACTGCCAAAATCACCATCTACAACATTAATTATCTCTCCATTATGGAATCTCAAGATGCTTCAGTGGAATTCAGTTTTCTATTGTTATATATGTGTAAAATAATATACTGGGTGCTCTTGAAAATTAATGTTTCAAAGTTGAGTCAGTGCTCTCAAATGAGACACTGTTAAGATACAAGATATAAGATCACCTTATTTTTTAAAAAAGATTTTTTTCCTTTTCTGTTAGAAACAAATAATACAACTAAATTTGTACTTTCTCTAATAAGAACAAATACCTCTGAAGATACTAAACTACCTGTTTTCATTTTTTATAATTAATCATAAAAAATCTATATTTTATACTAAACATAAGTTAATATACTACTTATCCTTAGAGCTTTTAAATAAAGTGAAGAGTATCTTTAAATTAATGATATAATCATCATGAGAATGTATATTTTATAAGAGCAGAGTCCTGAACATTTTAGTTTTAGTGGTAAACTATAGTACTTAATGCAATATTGATGAATGTCTGTTCTATACACAAATGCTTTTTCTGCCAGTACTTACTCTCTGAACCAATTTAAAATATTTCAGAGGGTCTCTATTAATCGCTAAGTTGTCCATGAAACTCAGAAGGACACATTTTAATTCACATCTACTTCAAACCAAAGTAGATGTTACACAGTACTTTTGAAGGTAAATTTTGCTAACAATGTGTGAAAATAATCTTTTTACTCCAATCCAAAATCAGGAAAAATGGGTTCATACTGTAATATAATATCTATATAAAAATAAGGTTTATTATCAAATAAATTTAATATAGTAAATTTTAATTGTGGGAAATATTTTTACTATGGTAATGTTTGTATTAGAAGGAAAAAAAAGCCCTTCACTTCAAAATATCTGTTGCTTTTTAGTTATTTAAAGAAATATTGACATGTTTATTTTTAGGGTGGGATTGAACTCTGACATGCAAATTAAGTGCTCTACTAATGAGCTAGCTACATCCCTAACCCCTAAAAACTGAAATATTTGTATAAAAAATGCAGAAGAAGGAAAAAATTTAGCCTAAAAAATGAATTTGAACTAAATAAATTATTTTTATAATATTTATAAGATAATAATATTATTTGTAAAAAGAAAGTTTTGATTTTTTTCTTAAAAGAGTTATAGCATTTACACCTCCAAAAGCAATAATGCTAGATTTGCAATTTTTTTTTTTTTTTTTAAGAAAGAGTGAGAGAGAGTGAGAGAGAGGGAGAGAGAGAGAGAGAATTTTAATATTTATTTTTTAGTATTTGGCGGACACAACATCTTTGTTTGTATGTGGTGCTGAGGATCGAACCCCGGCCGCACGCATGCCAGGCGAGCGCGCTACCGCTTGAGCCACATCCCCAGCCCTAGATTTGCAATTTTTGGAAAGCACATTTTAAATTCAAAGTGGTAAGCTTTACGTGCCTTTTAATTGTTAATAACCTGATTATTCAAGAACTAATTTAAGTATTGACTTTATGGATCATCCAGTCCCCTTGCTTCTTTTTTCTTGCTCTTTCTTTTCACTCATTATTGAATACTTGTATCTTCAATCATAGGGTCCCAGGCACAAAAACGGTAAAATATCTAATACCTGAATTTTTATTAAAAAGGTATGGTAAGCGATTATTCTAGGGAGGATAATTAACTTCCTGGCTAAAGTGAAGATTCTGAATCATCTGTGGATTTGACTAGGTATGTTTACTCTCATTTCAATTATAATACAGAAGTCAAAAATATGATAAAGATTTGCTATTACCGTGTGTGTGTGTGTGTGTGTGTGTGTATGTGTGTGTGTGTGTGTGTGTGAGAGAGAGAGAGAGAGAGAGAGAGAGAGAAAGAAAGAAAGAGAGAGAGAGGGGATTAATAATTTTCTCAACATGGTCTTTGGAAGAAAGCTATAATCGTACTGAAGTTTTGAAAAACAAGTCCTAACATGTTTGCGGGATCTTAAAACAAACATGAAATAGAATTTTACAGTTCTCTCAATAATTTCTTGGTTTTTATTCCTTATTCTTCATATTTTATGCATTTTCTATCTTACTTAGCAGAGTAAGTTATTTAATAAAACAGAATTGTACTGCTTAACTAATTTAGGTTTTTCATTACTGAATGGGGAATTAAGCATAACCAAGGTTTTACACTATTTATAACCAAAACATTCACATAATAACAGATATGATGTTTAAACAACAAAAAAAGAATTAATAACTTCTAAAATCAATTAACTATTGAGTATAAAAGTATGACAGCTAAAATATTTTAAAAATTTCCCCCAATTTACAACAGAATTTTTATATTGCTGAGATTTTAACATATTAAAATTAACTCAATTCATATTTAGGATCCCTCTAAAGAAATGACAGTACTTGGACACGGAATGTGTTCTATCATTAAAATATTAAAAGAAAATTACTATACCTAGATCCCACGGCACCATCTCCAGAGTCTTGGCTTCCAGCTTCACTTGGCGTACTCACAGACTTGGAAGATGGAGACATAGGAGGAGGGACTAAATAGTGAAACAGACAGGTATCCGCTGTTACTACACGGAGAGGTTGCTCAGCTTATGACGTTTCAAAAATAATTTAACATGAAGTAATTAACAAAAAAGGAAAAAAATAATGGCAAACCAAAAAACAAAAATATATGAATGAAAATGAACAGTAGAAAGAAAGGGGAAAAGACACCGTTAACAATGCATGCTGAAGATTCATGCAATTTCTTTGGCAAAATGCATTTGGACTTCATATTCTGAAAATTTTTAAAAGGCAAGATTATGAAAGGATGCATCTTCATCTCATTCATCACCAAATGTGGCTACTAATTTTCAAAGGAGAGCATTCCTTCTCCCCTTTCTAACTTCTTATTTTCAAGACCACCAGATTTTAAGTATTAGTTACAATTGCTATCAGAATTAAAACCCAGAAATTGCTTCATTAAGTCATTTAATCTCTGGTTTTCCAAAATTTTGAAATGCTAACTTTTGATTAACGATTTTTCTTTCAAAAATTAATATTTCAAATTATTTCGTTTTCCCTCAAACAAAAAAAGTGGAGGTGGGGGGGTGGGGGTGGGGAAATTTAGAGAAATGACTACAACTAAAGGAATGGCTCCTTTAAAATGTCCATTAGTTTCCAGCAATTTGGGTGAAAAATGCAAACAAGCCATAATACAACATGCCTTCTATACATGATGCATAACATAAAGTGATGCATGCAAACAAGGCAAGACTTATGGTAACTTCCTTACCCCAGTATTCAGAAAAAACTGAAGTGTACAGACAAAGATACAGACACCCAAAATATTCTTAATCCCTTCTTATAGAAAATACATTTTTCATAGTATATAAAATAAATAGCAAACACTTTCCCCTAAATTGTCATCTTTTAATATTACACAATAGCAGTTGAACGTGCACTTTTCATGCCAGGACATTTCGAAAACTTTGTGATTACCGTTGCAGGGAGTATAGGAGGATCATCACTGCCATCTTCTGGTTAAATTTTACCATAAATGTCCCCAATCCCAAGTATCTTTTTAAAATAATTTTTCAATGTACAATATTAAGTGACTAAAATACATCTGATATTGAGCTAAAAGCCTCCCAAGGACACACAATTAGCATTGCTGCCTGTTGGTCTACTGAAGAAAAGGTTAAGTTCCTAGTTACATAGGAACTGAAGAATTATATATTTAACTAAATGCCTATGTTTTTAGAAGTCATATTCACTGAGCCCTTAAAATTATTTAAGGGTTCAAATATTTACAAGTGCTGCAGTTAACAACAAAAGGTTTGGTCATCTAACAAAACTTACAAAAATAGTAATGATGAACTGCATTTTAAACACAGATATAAAACTGATCATCCTTCATTTTCTCAATAGCAAATTCTATTAGTAACTAATAAGATTAGAAGATTGTTTTTAAAAGTTACAACTAGAATGTTTGTTTCCTGAGATGCAAAGGTTAATTCTTGTTTAAATTACAAAGGACAATAAAAACATACCCAGTATTTCTGATGTTGTGATTAAATCTTTCAGAAACAATTATGTCAACCACAGACAGCTTAGTATAATTCATGTGTTGATGGCACTGTGCTAGGTGCTGTATATATAATTCAAAATAGCTAAAAATGACTTACAGCTAAAGTAAAAGATGTGTTATTAACTTAGGTCACATTCCCTCATCTTTTTATTCATGTCCTCTTAGTCTAAGTCCCAGATAATACAATAATAAAGAATTTTATTTAAGAGTTGTTTGCCTACTGTAAACACAAATAAATGTTTATTAAATCATAGTGAGTCCACCATGCTTTCACATTAAAGAATTTCAAAGAAAAGTTCTGTATCTTTAAATTACACAGTTCATACTTGAGAAAATATTTTTTTTTCCAAAGGCTAAACAGTAATTATACAGAGATTAATAAATATATTTACTCAAAGTCAGTTTTGAAACAAAAGTTTCAGAAAAAAGAGTACATCAAGAGAGTGCTGCTACTAACTTATCACAGTTTCTTACCAAAATAATGCAAAATAAGGGCTGGGGTTGTGTCTCATCGGTAGAACGCTTGCCTAGCGCGTGCGAGGCCCTGGGTTTGATCCTCAGCACAACATAAAAATAAATAAATAAAACAAAGGTACTGTGTCCAACCACAACTAAAAAAGTATTAAAAAAAAAAAAAAAGAAACTCCATCTCAGAACTATATTTTTTGTGCTGAAAGATAATTTAAAGCCAACCAATTCAGAGAACTTATAAAAGACTCTTAGCTATTCTCTAGCTCACCGACTTCATCTTGCAATAGTAAATAATGTATACTACAGAAGGGACTAACCTAGAAAAAGCAAATTACTATCATTGTAAAACAAAAACTGTTAATATGGGGGAGAAAAAAAAGGAACGGTAATGTTATTTGGTGACTACCACCTTTGAATCCAATCAGTCCTGAAAAAAATTCATATAGAGTAACCACACAGTAGGATAATGCCACTATACTCTCAGACTTCAACAAATTCCTGAGAGGGGGTTTATATATGCTGCAGTGAAAACAATGGGTTGGGTAATCTAACAAAATATACAAAAATGTAGTATGAAATATTGAAATGGCATGTATTCAAGGAAGTATAAACAAAAAAGAAAAGTAAGGTTTTGTCAAGTGTTTGAAATATGATTTGCTTAGCAAGAACAGTGATTCATATTACCTTACTCCATAGTTCTGTGCATAAAGTAGCCTAAAACAGGCTTTAAATGGTACAAAACAAAGAAATTAACATAAATATGTGAGTATAATAATGAATGTAAGCCTTTTAGGAGTTTAGAGCAAAAAGATGCCACTATTCCCTTGAGAGGAGAAATATGAAGTAAAATGGGAAAAAAATTACACCATGGAATTCACTGACCATGTAAGTAATATTGAAAGAATGTGACTCTAATTCTCTAGAACAAAAAGCTGACCAAGGTCTTTCATGACAGTTAAGACCTTGGCCTCCCAAGGACACACAATTAGCATTGCTGCCTTTTGGCCTGTGAAGAAACAACCAGAATATTTTTAAAACAGGAAGACACTAAGAAATGCACCTAGATTTAGAATTAGCATTAAGTCTGAGTCAACTACTCAGAATTATACAGAAATCTCAAGGATGAAGGATGATGACAGCTCAATTATTTTTCAAGTAGAAGAAAGAAGGGGCTTCTGCCAGGAAGAAGGACCTAGAAAAGGTAGAAAGCCAAAGAAAGTGAATGTATAGAGTGGGAGCATTGATAGAAGACATTGAAACAGGAGGAGTGAGCTTTAGGAAGAACCCAAAGTTATAAAGTTTCTTCAGCTTATCAATGGTACTCAGGGCTCAAACACAGTCCACATTATAATTATGCCCCCTTGTGGATACAAGTGCTTATAGCCTAGAATATGAACATTTAAACCAACTTTATTCATATATTACTCTTTGTCCTTCTGCAAGATGTTGCCCTTAAATATTAATTTCTCCCTTTCATATGCCCCTTCTCCTAAAAATGAAGATGAAATAGTATCTTCATTGTAATTCAGAGCAATAAATTTTTAAAAAATAAAAATTTTATTGTATTAAAATACCATAAGTTGGCTGGGGTTGTGGGTCAGTGGTAGAGCACTTGCCTAGCACATGTGAAGCACTGGGTTCAATCCTCAGCACCACATAAAAATAATAAAGTTACTGAGTCCATTTACAACTAAAACAAATATTTTTAAAAAATACCATAAGTAACCAATATTCCTTTTCACGTAACAATTTGTAAAAATGAAGCTACGCTTGAAAAAAATGACCTGGCAGTGTGGAAAGTATTCTAAAATTCTAATTAAAAATATTAAAAGTTTCAAGGAAAGGAAAGGGGAAAAAAAAATGAAGCCATGCTTTTTTGACATAGCAAACTTACTTTGTTTCTTTCTTATAAAAGAAAATTCAGATACTAAATTATAGCAATAAATGTATTCTACTCTCTTGATACAGTCTAAGGATACAGAGTAACTGACAATATCTGTTTTCATTACTTTACAAAAATGGTTAAATAGTAGTTATAAACACACACAGATAAGTTATTTTTTTAAACATCATTCATATAAAAGAACTCCATATTTGATACAAAATATCTTAAAAGCTGTACCTAAAATTAGCTTCTAGAGAATGAATACTTAAATTTTGTGAAAGAAGAAAGTTAAACCTCACATTTTACAAAATATTTAAATTTCAATTTCCATCATGTATTTTCCTAAAATTTAACAAGATTTGATTGTTGTTATTGTCTTAAAGAAGGATGGCTTTTATCTGGCCGTAGTGGAAAGACAAGTGACCTAATAACAATCTAACAAATATTTAAGTGTCTAGCCAGTACTGGCACCAGGAATAAAAATGAAAGATTCTGCTCTCAATAATCAGTCAAATGATTAAATAAATCAGAATCTAGCAGCAAATAAAAGTTGTGAGGTTTTATTACTAATACCTTTTTTAAAAAATATTCTTTTTAATTAAAAAAAGAAAAAAAATCAATTTTAGAAAAACAATGTTTTTAATAAACCCTCTTGAGTATTCTAGCAGTGCTTTTCTATTTCTGTAATTTTGAAACATTTAATAAGTACTCAAGGAGTATTTCTACAATGAAAAGAGAACCAAGTATTTATTTATCCTGGGTTTTGACAAAAAAAAAATGTATTTAAAATTTTTTATTTTTAAAGAGAGAGAGAGAGAGAAGAGAGAGAATTTTTTAATATTTATTTTTCAGTTTTCAGTGGACACAACATCTTTATTTTATTTATATGTGGTGCTGAGGATCGAACCCAGCGCCCCGCGCATGCCAGGCGGGCGCGTTACCACTTGAGCCACATTCCCAGCCCAAAATATGTATTTTTTAAACTGTGCATTATTGGAAAAAAAAAAAAAAAGCTTGATAACCACAGTCTAGCCTTTATCTATATAAATATACATTGGACATTAGCATTGGAGGTTTAGGCATATGTTTTAAGGATTACAAAATGCATTTAGCCTAAATTTTCTGAAGACAGTAAAATTTTCATAAGGCCTTTGGCCCTTAATAGATTCCATTATGATGGTAAATGTGCTTAATAAGAGGTGGAAAATAGTTTAGAAGTCAGAAACTCAAAGGAAAAGATGTCTAGAGATCTGACTAGGAACTCTAAATGCTAAAATCCTAAATGCGGTGTTAACATTTTCTAAGAAGGAACAGCAGGCCCTATGTCCATTTCCCTAGCTATCTGAAGAGACTCTTAATTCAATGTTAATCAGCTTATACTACTTTGGTAAAATATAATCTTTACATTATTTAAAATTTCAAATAACTATCATGAGCTAAAAGAAAGCAATAATCTGTCACTACTTTTTCAACAGTATTTTCAAAGCATACTGTTTACTGCTCCCTTAAACTGTTCTATCCTCATCAGAACTGAATCTCTTTAATTACTGACAACTGAAACCTATCAAATAGTATAATAGATAAGCTGATATTTAATCAAGAAGATACTACTCTCTCATATCTAAAAAAAAAAACTTCTGCTGCAAATAATGTAATCTTTAAAAAAATGTAATCTGTAAAAAATTGTATTAATAATCTACTTATAAAATGACAGTAGAGGGCTGGGGTTATAGCTCAGCGGTAGAGCGCTTGCCTAGCACATGCGAGGCCCTGGGTTCGATCCTCAGCACCACATAAAAATAAATAAAGGTATTGTGTCCAACTACAACTAAAAAAATAAAAATATTTTTTAAAAAATGACGGGAGA